GTTGTTCGTACAACCGTTTTACAGTTTAAAAAAAGACTATCACTTTTCTTGTACAGTAAAAAAATAATATTTTTATTCATGTAAAAAATTAAAAAAAAAAAAACTTTTTTATTCTTATAGTATATACTTAACCATGACCAGGCGACTCTATCTTCGAGGACAGTTATTATTGTACACCAATTAGCGATTAGCGATAATTAACGTTTGATTATATTTATCAGCTGATAAACGGAATGACAATACATGGCTAATTTTTATTTTCAGTGTATAAAATATGAAAATATGAAAATATGAAAAAAATATGAAAATTGTAGTGACAAAGTAGGTAGTGACAAACATGAGGTTTAAAATTAATGTGTTGTTATTTATGAATAACATTTAAACATGAACTATAAAAAATAACCATAATAATGCATGATAAAAAACGTTATACAATTATTTTTTTTGCTCTTGCTGGCATTTGTGGCGTTTTCCACAAATACAATTTTCTTCGTGGAATTAAGAAAATATTGACGTACAGATACTAAAAATAAAAAAATATTTGTGGAAAGATATTTACGGACAGGACTAAGTATACATTTAATAGAGCTATATATGCCAGTATATGCATACTGAATATTTAATATATTTACTAGCTCTTTGTTTCTTTATCTCTAATTGTAAGTCAAGTGTTATTATTACAGTTTATTATAATTTACCTTTTGACGTGTATTGATGTACTGTACATATTTTCTCGGCACTTAAGCTCATTACTAATAGTCGAAATGCACGCATATCTAAACGTAAGATACGTTTCAATGTGAAAGCCTATTCTTGGAAATAGAGACATACCACTTCTACAACGCCGACCGTACATTTAAAAGAATACATCATATATTTAATATAATATTAATATCTCGTAATAATACCAATCAAATTTTATGAAAATTTCACGCGGGTTGCTATCGACGCCCCTCTCCCCCGCTCCCCAATACGCTCGGGGGATCTGCGTCGCGAGGAGGAAAAAAAAACGGACCGACGTCCATCGAGCGGACTCCGCGAATTCCCGGCCGCCGCATCGCGTCGCGTCAGGGCGCAGAATCCGGTGTGGCGGACGCCGCCGACTGCGGACGGTCTCGCCGTCGGAACTCTGGGCGGAGTTCCGGCGGCGAGACGTAGACGCGCGCCGCCCAGGCGTGTACGCCCCTGATGATCCTCGACGCGCCTTCGTTGGCGCACTCCTCTGCCTCTCTTCTCGTCGCCGCTCTCGCTCACGCACTCGCGTGACGACGCAACGCGTCGCGTCGCGTCTCGAAGAAAAGCGTCACGCGTCGCGAGTCACGCCGCGCGGCCAACGGCACCCGATTTTCGATTTTCGACCGTCCGGCCCATCTCTCGGTGTCATAAATCGCAAGTAATATCGAGAGCTCTCTAATTTTTCTCGCGTTGCCGTCGGCAGCGCTTGCGACCCGCTTCCCTCCGTGTTGCCAATTATGAATTATATTAGGGGTATTCAAATAAGTTAGAGTTTAACGGTTTGACAGGTTATGTCGGGTTAAAGTCGGGTAAAAAGTTAATTTTTACACTTTTAACCCAAAGATTAATGTGATAGGTTAATGAAACACTTATGTATTTTGCATAACCTTAAAGAGTAGCGCGCCCAAAGTTAATTAATTAACTTTTTATTCGACTTTAACCCGACATAACCTGTCAAACCGTTAAACTTTAACTTATTTGAATACCCCTATTGTACTTTTGTTAAGTGGATTAATTTAACCGCGAGCCAACCTCTTATTGCTGCCGATGATGCTTTTAAATGTAGCTCTCGCACGCGTACCGTCATGAGTATGAAAGTACGGATAATATATTGAATTGCTCTTTTCGAGGGACATTAAATATTTACACAGAAAATTTATGCAAAATATATTTTGTATCGGCAATATTTATTCAAATGCGATAAATTGATCGTTTTAATTGTATTTTGAAGTTTAATTAAATGTCGTAACTCGGTATAAATGTATGTAACATTATGGAAAGCTGTAAATATTTACTGGGATAATTTCCGACATGTAAAACAAGTTTCTCATCATAGATTATGTTACATATAAATATATTCGTGGCCGAACTGTAATATTGCACGCATTCGCTACTGTTTCTTTATGTGACCGAAAGCCGGGTACTTATTTACGAAAATATTAACAAAGTTTTATAAAAATTATCTGTAAACAATAGAAAATGCACTAAATTAACAAAAAATATAACTGAGAATTGAACGTGGAATTTAATATCAATTCTAAAAATAATTTGTGTACGAAGATAAAATAAAATGAGGAATTAAAAGGACATTTATTAACATTAAACTACAAAGAAAAATCTAAAAGAAATAAGTTAATTTAAGTAATATCTTGATGTGCAGTATTATAATGATAAAAGATGTACTGCCAGTCGGCGAAAGTTTAAAAAAGAGACTAAGTATAAAATTTAAAATTATTCCAGTAAAGCACTACTTAAAAGTCTCATTCTTGCCGTACTCAATATTTGTTCTTAATTTGACAGGAAATAGACATGATATTTAACACAGTTGTGATTAACATAGCATGCATCGTTTAATTTCAAGAAAATGGATTACGATGGTCATGAAATCTCTTTTTTCAAAACTGAGCTGTGAACAATTTTAGAAAATGAGTGGAAGAATCTTTCGTCAGAAAAAATAAATAAACTTCTAGCTAGATTACCTAGATTAGTAAAAAAAAGTGATTAAATTAAGGGTGGCTACTTTGACGAGAAAAATGTCCAATACCTATTCTTTATTTTGTTTAACACTTTTCATCTTGTAAAACACATTTTTTATAGAACTTTCAAACACATTATATTATTTTTTATTTAATGAAACATTGAATAAGATAAAAAAAACATGTAAAATTATAATGCAAGTTTGATTTTATTTCATATAGTAGATATCTTCAATTAATGGCTTTAAACTTTCGCTGGCAGTGTATGTAAATTAATTAAGCTAGAAGAATAAGAATTCTTATATCAAACAATTAATAAAAGAGAAAATAGTGAAATAAAAAGTAACACTCTTTACGCAGAATACAATGTTAATATACAATAAAAATTTTAATTTTAATAATTTATTACGCAGATCTTACAAAAGAGAAACTGATGAAATAAACGTAATAATAAAATGATACAAATTGACACACAGATAAGCATTTTTCTTCTGTTATAGACAAAAGTAGTACTCTCTACCATTTTTAATTCGCGAAAAGACGTAGTCACCAATGTGTAGTCGCGAATGTATTAATTAAAATAATGGCTTACACGTGGGTAATTATCCTTATCAAAATAAGAAAAATATGTTTTCTTAAAATTAAAAAAAATCATGGACATTTGATATTTGAGATATTTCCTGTTATAAAGAAACAGAGAATATAAATTCTAAATTAATCGTTAAATTTTGGAGCTCCTAGTTTGAATTAAAACACTGAAAAACAAAATGGAAAAAATTTCCACGTTGTTGAAAAGGCGCGCGTCATATAAATTATTTGCTTTTAAAAATTTTTTCTAGATTATTCTTCGATAGAGTCTATCTTCTGATTGTATCTGTATTTAGATAAGATGTACGACTACTTAATAGTTCAGTGGATTAAGGTCTTATATATGAAGTGGTATTACTAATTGTGTGAAGCTAATCTATTTCCCAAATTTAATAAATCCTCAGAATTGGTCGGCGATATTTGGCGATTATCTTTCTTCGATAACGCACTCGTATGTTCTGATTTTACGAAAGGTGCGGCATCATCGTACGATTCAGAGACGTATACGAAAACGGGCGACAGAGGGTAATGTGCTTCCCTGAATTGAATTTCGCCGGGACGTGAATTTCTTGCCTTTGTTTTTAGTTATATACTAAAGAAAAAGAAGCAACACTAATTTTTCAATTTTATTTCAATATTCTTTTATTTCCATTTGCATTATTGTCTTGTATGGCTTTCATGTTTTCTCCTACGTAATTAACCCTAGCTTCCCACACTTCCAAATTTTTACGGGCTTTCTACACTGGGATACAGGTTACCCCACGTCTATATTTAGCTAAAACTACATGAAAAAAATCAACTGATTTTAAGTCACTTTTTTTCCATCGATACGCCAGACATCAAGGAATATGCCTATGAATAAGAAAATATGAAAAGGATAGTAGTTTGGAAACTATTCGCTTGTAAAGAAAAGGTAAATTCTCGAAGTAGCAAACTAGCGAATTTTACCTGGGGTTACAGGCACCCCAGTGGGAAAGCTAGGATTAATTATAATATATATTAATTTGTAAAAAAGGGGGAAAAAAGATATTGTTCGTCGTTCAATTCACGATGCAAATGGATGCGTAAATACCCTCGCTATACCTCTCTGGTACGATTCCATTACGTAAGTTTTATCCACGAAATCACTGATAACGCGTTGGCGCGAAAGCGACGACAGGACAGATCGACGTATTGATTTTATTTTCGTTTGTCGGCGATTTCGCCGGGCGGGGATGTCGATCGCTATTTCGCGGCTAATACGTAACTAACGAGCGGTCGTTATGATCGACGATAAGATCGATCGATCGCACATTCCGTGTTTTAATTCGAGATCGCGTGTCGTCCGTGAAATACGTACAAAATGCGGCTTTCCCTTTGTAGTTTCACCGCGGACGTGTGCCTCGAGATAACACAATTATTGTTTTACGTTATTATCCAATATCAGGTTCTCTGTTCGAGGAAACGCACCGACGGATCTCTAGATCGGACGCGATTTTCATCAAAAAGATCTTTAAAAATTTCGAAAATTAAAGATATGTATGTATTGTGTAAAAATGGCGATCTCGAATCGCATTTCATTCGGCATGAAAGATTATACTTCTGATTGTAAAATTAAGATTTTTTTGACCTAGGAAACGACAACTGTTTCTCTCTCTCTCTCTCTCTCTCTTTCTCTCTATCTGTCTCTCTCTCAAAATCGATCGATTGTTTGTGTTTCAGAAGGCAAAAGCTCGCACTGCGTTGGCTGCGGCGGTCGAATTCACGACCAGTGGATCCTGAGGGTAGCGCCTAATCTGGAATGGCACGCGGCTTGTTTAAAGTGTGCCGAGTGTCAACAGTTTCTGGACGAGAAATGCACCTGTTTCGTGCGGGACGGCAAAACTTACTGCAAGCGTGATTACGTTAGGTAAGTCACGTCGTCGGTTTTTTTTAAGGAACTTCGCTGTACGGTTCACTGGAAAGTCGGACAGCGAAACTTCTTTTGAAAGGCGGTTCAACCCTAGTAGCCGCAAACAAAAAGAAATGAAAAAAAGAAAAAATCTTCGGCGGTAGATTCCCGAGGAGCTACGAGCGTTCGATTTTTCGACAGTTTTTACGGCGCGCATCGAAAGAAACGAGGAAGGGTTGCTTTCAGATTGCATTCGACACTTTTTCGTTCGTTTGGCGCCGTACAATTAATTCTTCGCGATTACGAGAGAGACGAAACCGCGCGATGACGTGGTACGTCAAGCGGACACCGTCTCATCGTCCGACGGTTAAGTGTCGCTCCTTAACGAACGAATTCCACGAAGAGGTGGAACAAGAGGCACTCGGGAGAGAGACCCCGGCCTCACGATCGCGGTGCAATATGGTAATTAATGCAAAACCGTGCCTCTTGTCACTGCGGCCGCTACATTCTCCGGCGACACGCGATACGCTCTTTCCGATACGCATTTGCAAACGCTCGGATTGGGAGGCGAGCAGGAGGGAAAAGAAAGAAAAAAAAAAGAAAAAGAAAGAAAAAAGGAAAAGAGAGAGAGAGAGAGAGAGAGAGAAATGGTCGAGAGGCAGAAATTGGGGAAGGAGGGGGTGACAGGGTCGAGAAAGTCCGGGGTATTTTTATCCGACGTATACACGTGGAGTGCGGCGCACGAACGCACACGCACGCATGCACGTATATCCGCACCGTCACTGTCACGACGTTGCGTGCCCTGGGCGCGTGCAAAAGAAACCGTGCACGCAATTATGCTCGCGCTCGCGAGAGAACTCGCACTCGCGAGTCAACGCAACGAGGCGATGCGTGGCATTGATCGACATCACCTCGACACAGTGACGGTTATTACTGTCATTTACTGACGATGCGATCGAAATAGTCAACGTAGCCGGTGCGTGGCATGGTCGATCATAGGAAACCACTAGAAGTATTCTCGACCGCGGATAAAACTACGAGAAATAGGATCGAACACGACTTTTGATAGTTACGGAGTTAAGCGGTTTGAGGATTAAGTAACTTTTGCCGACTTAGTTTCAAAAATATGAACGAAGACTTTGTATATGAAACTTCTTCTTTCCATTAATCATCTTGGATTCGAGATAGACATAAAATTAACTTTCGATGATGTTGAGACTTGAGTATTTTAATAAGAATTTACTTTATACGGATTTAGTAAATTATTCGTTAATTTGCAACTTTCTAATTTTTTTTTTAAATAATAATACTTGAACATCATCAAGATAATTAATACGAATGCGTGTTAAGCGAAACGTCTATTATTAGATTATTTTTCCTGAAGATTGTATTGCTCGATAATAATCTATTCCTTTTCTATGATTGGTTTTCTGTTCTTCGACAGTGACAGAATGACGGACATGCCTTTAACGTGCTTGTAATCGAATCAATTATCATAATTGATTTTATAATGCTTACATTTAATTGAAGTGGGATATCACTAAATTAATTGGAGTTGTTGTATTCGTTTCGCTGGTTACGTCACTTTCGATGTGGCAGAAATAGGAACGGGAATGTGCCAGAAATGAAAAAAAGACGCATCCCTCGCGTGGAGATTTCTCTCTTTCTCATTTCTTTCTTTTTTTTTTCATCGTTCACGACGGTAATGCCGCCAAATAACCCATCGGCACGAATTCGACCTGGACCAAATATTTTTCCCTGTCGAGGCAGCGGGTTTATTTGCGCTGATCCGTCGAACGTCGGAACGTCGCCGTAATTCGAACAAGACTGGCGTATCCGGCCGCGGACTCGAGCGACAGCGATGACGGCCGTTTGTTGTTGCTGTCGCTTTCGTTCAAAAGTCCAAATTACCAAAGTAACTCCCTCCTCATACGTCCTTCTGGGTGTTCCCGGCGGTAGCCGTTTCCGACAGGCAAACGCCAACAATCGCAAAAGTGCCACGATTATTACAAAATATAATCACGTATAGTTGAATTATCAAAATTCACTGTAATTGATTTACATATACACACATACACATAAATGCATAATCACATGTTTATACATTATAATTATAGATATACATATAATAATATTATAATATAAATTTCATGTATATATATATATATATATATATATATATATATATATATATATATAT